TGACTCAATGAACATGAGTTTGAGCAAGCTTCAGGAGATGGTGAAGGACAGGGAGGCCTGGCATGCTGCAGTCCATTGGGTTCTGAAGAGTTGGACATGACTGGATGACTGATCAGCAGCAACAAGTTGGTTTCAATAAAGGAAGTTTTGATTTGGTAGAGAGGAAAATAACTTGGAAAAATATATTCCTCATCAACTTATTTTTGATATGGGTATTTATTTGTGTGACTCTTTTGGGTCAAACACTGGGGTGAGCTGACCAGTATGCATTTTTGACAATTGAGGGAGGCAGGGAAGTTTTGGCTGCCTGAGTAGTGTGGAGGGTGAGGGAGATATGGGAAAAAGTTTGTTTAATTTTGTTTGCCAATGCTGGGAAAGAAAATACGGTGTAGCCGTTGGTCACCAAGTTCTTCTTTGGAAGGCTACATTCTTCAGCCTCAAGGGTATGGCCCTCCCTCCATTATAACTGGTAATATCTCCTTCAATTCACCACAGTGACTTCCAGTTGGTTCCTTTCTATACTGGAAAGAGGGCAGACAAAATAGACTAAAAGGGGGAGGAGGAAAAAAAGGGGGGAGGGGAGGAAGTAAAAATAAGAGGAGGGAAGGAGGGGGAGGAGGAGTTGAAAGATGCTTACCAGCCCTTTTCCACAGCTGGAAACAAAAAGAGGTCAGCCCTTTGCCCTCACGTGACCTTCTTCATTGGGTCCATTTCCTCCTCCCCTTTCTGGTGTTGCCCTAGTGACGGTGGATTAGTCACTAAGTCATATCTGACTCTTTGCAACCTCATAGGCTCTAGGTCACCAGGCTCTTCTGTCCATGGGATTTCCCAGGCAAGAATACTGGAGTGGGTTGCCGTTTCCTATTCCAGGGGATCTTCCTGACCCAGGGAGTGAATCCTTGCCTCTTGTGTTGCAGGTGAATTCTTTACTGACTGAGCCACCAGGAAAGCCCTGGTGTTGCACTCAGGCTTATGAATTTTCTCTTAGTGAAGTGTAGACTGTCTGCAACTTTCCCGTAAGAATGTGCACATGTGTATGCATAAGAGAGAATAAACAGGTAAGCACAGCCAGTTTTAAGGTCAGAGGTGTGAACAGTAGGAAGCATTTGGAAAAACTACCTTCACTGGCCAGCCTAGTAGCTGGCACCCCCTCAGCAGTTTTCAAGCCATAATAGATTTGGAGGAATTTTATTAAAAGAAAATCAATAAGCATTGTATATCTTGTGACTAATACTCCCTAGCGTCATATCACACGCCCCTTTCTGGCCTTGCCTTCTGTTGGCGTGGTCAGCCGCAGAGGAAGGGCTGGACACCCTGCGGTCTGAGTTGCCGTGACCATGTCTCTCTTCCCACCCAGGGTCCCCGGGCAACCATTTAGGAGTGCTCACAGGGCACTTCTCATCACGGCTGTCTGCAGGGAAGTCTGTGGTCCCAGCTCTTCACATAAAGTTCCTATGATACTGTACTCTTATATTCATCTCCTGTGTTTATAATACAGCTGCTTATGGATCCTCATAGGCTCAAGCAGTTGTGGCCTGGGGTGGTCTTAAATCCGTCTCCTTGCTGGATAATAAATAACCCTTCTTTGGAGCCTGGTTTATCCCCTGGATTAGAAGAAACCCAGTGACTAAGTTTCATTTCAGATTTTTTGTGCTATGCAGTTTTTATCATTATGGTTGGCTGGACATTCTTACATATCCAGAGATTTCTAAACCACTACACACACACACACACACACACACACACACACACACACACACACACTTCTGTACAGATTATTCCATAGTTTATCCATTGGGATAGGGTAACAAATATATTCACTTAGCAAAACCAAATTTTTAAACTGATGGTTTAAAAACACTTGGGCTTATTAGTAAGTGTTTATAGCTAAGAGTGTTTGTAGTTTCACTTTCTGCTTTTTAAAAATTAACAGTAAATATTTGGACTAATTTTCTTGCAATCCTTGAATGTGTTTAAGTGTGTGTGGCATATAATGAATAGCAAATGAGACTGCTTGTGATTCAGTTGCTTTACCATTCACTCACCACCAGGCTGCATGTTTATTATCACCATGTAGGGTTACATTGTTTTCATTCATAATCCTACACTGTGTAAGAGTTAGGGTCCAGGCTTCCCTGGTAGCTCAAAAAGTGAAGAATCTGCCTGAAATGTAGGAGACATGGTTTCATTTCCTTGGTTGGGAAGATCCCCTGGAAAAGGGAATGTCTACCCACTCCAGTATTTTTGCCTGGAAAATCCCATGGATAGAGGAGCCTGGTGGGCTACTCTCCAAGGGTTTACAAAGAGTCAAACATGACCAAGGGACTCACACTGTCACTTTCTTTTAGGGTCCAGGAAGGAAAGAGATCTCATGCTTAAATTATGTAATTTGTTGTGTTTAGTGGAGAGAATCTTTAAAATGCATGAGCAGAAGAAAAACCACAAGGAGAGTGTAGAACTCTATTCACATGTCCCTGGAATGACGTGGCAACTCTAATTTGCCTATTTCTGTATGATTTTGATTCCTTCTTCCTCTGTCACAGCAATTCTGGCCTTACTCCTTCACTTAACACTCATTTTTCATTCAGGTTTTCAGACACCATTCTAGTATTGATTTTAGCATCCTCGTGTTAGCACTATAGTCTGGGGGCCTGATAATGTGTTAAATTCTTTGTTGTAGAATGCTCCCACACTGAGAAACTCTCTTTTACTCAACATTAAGTCCTGGCACCTTTGTCCTGCACCCCCAGGGCCCAGTCCCGTGCACACTTTCCTTTTCCTGTTGGTATATATTGGTTAGGTCCTGCAGCTAGATTTTTCAGCTGTATTCCTTTTTCTCTCTGAGAGACCTTTGCACATTCCAGACTGGGTATATTGGTGTGACAAGATTATTAGGTCAGCTTAGATACTAGCAAGAAGAGTCTATTGAGTAGATCTAACACTAGAATGGCATTTGAAACTTGAACAGCAAAATGACATGATGGTTACATATCCTGACTGCACAGAGAGAGGACAGTGGATATCTATATGTTTCAAACACTTCTAGATATTGACCTATATATCTCTTCTTTTGACTGATTCTAATTTGTATTTTTTTTGCTATGATAAGACTATAATTATTAGTAAAAACAAAAATTCCATGTTAAGTGAGGTAGAGATACCAGAATTGCTGTGATAGTGGAAGTAGAAATCAAAATCTCACAGTAGGCCTGCTAGACTTGCTATATCAGAGACAGCTGGAAAATCCATCAGTTTACTATTAAAATCCCAAAGTGAAGTCAAAGCTGTTTCTAGGTAGCAGAATCTTTTATTTCTCTAAAGCATGCATTATATGGTGGTATTCCTTTGTCATAAATTCATGAAAACAGAAGGAGCACAATCTAAATAATTTTGGCAGTTTTGTCAGTATCTTTCTCAGTTGTCTGGGAGCTGTTACAGAAAAAGTCTAATTTTGCACCAAAAGAAAGTGTAGTTTTACCAGCAGAATAGCATTTTCCTCCATTAGTTAAGGGTGGAGACTATAGCCAGTTATGTCCTGGAAAGTCATACTGTCAGCAAGATTATAGACTATAGAACTTCTCAGAATATATGGAATGATTTGTAGTTGGTAACTGTGATAACATCAATCCTGTCTTTTAAAAAAACGTAGTTTTGGTTAAAAACAAATTTTCTGAAAAACGACCTGCTTGGTGAATATTATAGAGCTTCCCTTGTGGCTCAGCTGGTAAAGAATTTGTCTGCAGTATGGGAGACCTGGGTTCGATCCCTGGATTGGGAAGATTCCCTGGAAAAGGGAAAGGCTACCCAACTCCAGTATTCTGGCCTGGAGAATTCCATGGACTGTAATAGTCCATGGGGTCACGAAGAGTCTGACACGACCAAGCGACTTTCACTTTGGTGAATATTATCAATATTAAAGTTATAATTTTTATTGGGAAGGTTATGAGTTATGGGGCAGTGATGGACATTAATTTTCATGGAAGACCATTATTATTATAATTGTAACTAGTTGTACCATTAGACAAATATTTTCATATAAGGAACTCCCCTGGTATTCTAGGACAAAGACATAAAACTAGCAGTTAACGTTTTGTATGCAGTTTGGGTCATATTGAATAAATATCTGTATCAAGCATTTTTATCCTAGAATCAGAATGGTCATAAAAATACAAACACAAAGTTAAAATAGCGTGTAAACTGAAATGTAAATCTGTGCCCATTGTTACAGGCTTAATTTCAATTATGCTTTAGTTACAAGGTTAAGCCTTCTACTTCCATGAAATATCTGCATCTGATGAAAATACTCTGGACGTCATGCCTTAGGCACTTCATATGCTCTTACAAGTTTGTGGTAACAGGAGTATGTTGAGAATCCTGTGCTCTAAATTCTGCTCCTCCCACCCCACCTCCAGCCCTGGTCCGGAGACTCAGTTTTTGACGTGTAGCTTATATTAATAGCAAGGGCCTTTGAATAAATTAATAGAAAAAGCAGAAACTATCTGAGAATAAGAAGACTGGCTCTGATTAATAAATTGTAATTACAAAAAAAAAAGAGAGACATAAAGGCTCTATCGAGGAATAATAAAATGTCAGTCTTTGTACATGAATCAATGATTACCCTTGAATGAGAGTTTATTATGACCAATAAGGACATAAATTTTCAGAGCTCTTAATGCCACATAGTTAAACCCAGTGAATAAAAATTTCGATTTTTCAAAGATAATTCTAATAAAGTAACTGTAGATTCATATAATTTGCAGCACTGTCAGAAGTTAGAAAAATTGGTTATTGTAATTCAGTTTATAAAGCTATTATTTATTTTAACTCAGTTTTACTTCAATTTATGTCTACATTTTGAAAATCTTGACTGTTTATGAAATGTGTGAATTAAAACCAGTAAAATCAGTATAGGAGGCTTTAGGATGCTCAAGTAAATTAGATTTTTTATGATTAAATAAACCCTAATCTTGCATAAACTAACATTAATGGTACCATTTTTACACTGTGATAAAGCCAGGGAAAAGGCATATTATAAAACTAGTCTAATATCCAGTGATTCGCATTGCCAGGCAAGTGTATACCTATTCATGGAAAATTAGGCTGAATAGTTAGTTGATGGGAAAAAGTTAACAATTTGCATTTATGAGGAAAGAGATCGGTTCGTGAAGACTTTGCTAATTAACTATTGAAGGTTAAGCTTTGTACAGGACAATTTGTAAGGCTGTAGATCATCAGTTAAACAGGTGCTATGTTTTATTAGTCAGAAGTTTTCAGTTAGGTTGGTGTGAGTTTGCCTGTGGGTCACTCAAAGGTCAAACACGTCAGTTTTTCTTGGTTAGAAAAAAGTTTTCAATTAGGTTGGTTGGTGTGGGTCTACACCTGGGTCACTCAGAGGTCTTAGTTACTTAGCTTCAGCTGGTGAAACACTGAAACGTCATCACTGGTTGTCAGCTTCCGCTGGTTAAAAGCAGTTGCATGGGACCAGCACAGTCAGTTTGAGATCTGTTCCAGTGGGAAAAATTTCCTTCTACGTTGTGAGCATCAAATCGATATAGTACTTCTATCCCACTGGATATGTTTACAAGAGTGCTATAATAGTTTTATTTTAAAATTTTAATTAAAACCTGGTAAATTTAAAATTTCAATTTTGTTTTTCTAGTAATAATGAACTTTGCATCTAATTAAACTTAGGATGAACATTTTATTAGATATTAAACATAATGTGCATAAAAAAGGATATACATTTTTCAAAAATGAAAGGGAATATTTGAGCAAAAATGAAGTACTCTGTGTTAAGATGGATATTGATTTAGCCTTAAATAATTCCCTTGGGTTTGCCTTTGTAATACTTTGTGAGTCTTTAATATGCAAGCGGACATGGCGAGGTTTATTTTGCTGTCAGTGGTTAAAGTTTTGGAGGCAAGAGCAGTATCTACTCTTGGGTTGAATCAAATCATACAGGGACTGGGACTACAGTCAGGAAATTCCCTCACCCAAATCTCAGTTAAATACATAAACAATAAGAAAGTTTGTTTCAAGTAAAGCACCCTTTCCTGGTTTCAGCCAAGGCTATAAAACTGAGTGCTATTTGGTATATGCCCTTGGGTGCACAAGAAAAAGAGGCAACAAAGCTCTAGCTGCTCAGAGTAAATGTTTAAACTTTATTCTAAAAAACTCAACTGTATCCCTCAAGGTTCTTGGTATTTATAATTCTGAAGTCAGTTAGCTCCAGCGCATCAGACCTCACACCTCTATTTTCCCTGTGGATAGTGATGAATGAAGTAGCCCTTAAAAATCAGAGTCAATTGAAATTCAGTTAGGGGATCTATCAGTATCATGATATCAAGACTTGGGCCAGCATTTATAAGTGGGTAATTAGGAATCTGACTCTTCTTGCTGTGCTGAGATCCCAGCCAAAACCTGCCCATGGGATCACGGAGGCTCCAGGGTGTTCTCAGTCAGTTCGTTGCTCAGTCATATCTGACTCTTTGCAACCCCATAGACTGCAGCACGTCAGGCCTCCCTGTCCATCACCAACTCCTGGAGTTTACTCAAACTCATGTCCATTGAGTTGGTGCTGCTATCCAACCATCTTATCCTCAGTTGCCCCCCTTCTGATCCTACCCTCAATATTTCCAAGGATCAGGGTTTTTTCTAAAGTGTCAGCTCTTTGCATCAGGTGGCCAAAGTACTGGAACTTCAGTTCCAGCATCAGTCCTTCCAGTGAATATTCAAGGTTGATTTCCTTTAGGAGGGACTGGTTGGATCTCCATGCTATCCAAGGGACTCTCAAGAGTCTTCTCCAGCACCACAGTTTGAAAGCATCAGTTCTTCAGTGCTCAGCCTTCTTTATGATCCAACTCTCACAAGACTACTNTTTTCTGGAACTCCCTTGCTTTTTTGATGATCCAGTGGATGTTGGCAATTTGATTTCTGGTTCCTCTGCCTTTTCTAAATCCAGCTTGAACATCTGGAAGTTCCCAGTTCATGTATTGCTGAAGCCTGGCTTGGAGAATTTTGAGCATTACTTTCCTAGTGTGTGAGATGAATGCAACTGTGCAGTAGTTTGAGCATTCTTTGGCATTGCCAGGGTGTTCTACTTAGGTCTCTATGTTAGATAGTAACCCTGAAGCCATGGCCACTGTGACTATGCCAGACTAGAGTTTGAAAGAGAGCAAATTGCCACTAGGATCATTTCCAAGGGACCCACCACAACTCTGCATAAACATAGTACCCAGCGCCCCAGTTGGGCCTGGCCTGGTGGTTTGTTCTGCTATCAGCCAGGCTGTCAGGGCCACAGTGGACTGGATCTGTTTCTCCCTGAAGTCAGAAGGCCAGTAGTAAATAGAGAGTTGGGCTAATACAATTGAATAGAGCATTGCTAGTCACACATATGATACTGGAGGGCTTTGTTAGCAAGAAGTTAGAAGAGGTTCCAGCAGTCAATGTGCTTCTTCTGTATACTGTGTTATAAAGGACTTTTCAAATGCATTGCTCTATTGGATGCTTATAACTACTCAGTGGTGTTGGAGAGGTTTGTATTTTTATGACCACTTCCAGATGGATGAAGGAAGAAGAGAAGGGTTAAGTAGCCACTGGAGGAGAGTTTAGTGAGGAGGGGCATATTTTCAGGTGTTTTGGGTTAGGGTTTTAAAATCTGGATAGTGTGAACTTTGTAGTTGGGTCACAGCGTGGTAGCAGTGACTTTCTTGTTCAAGTAATCAGAAAATATTCTTGCCATGCCTTTGCTAAGTTGTAGAGATTTATTAAGAAATATTACAAGACTTCTCCCAGAGAACTTATAATTCCACTTTAGAATATACATGCACATAAACTATTTCTGTTAGGCAGTAATAACACTCAGGTGCCAGGGACTGTGTGGGTCGTGGCTGACCAGTACAGCAGTAAACCTGTGGATGCCAACCTGTCCTAATAGTTCTGTCCATGTTTGTTTTACAGAAGAGCATCCTTTCCTGGGGAAATGCTCTGTCGCCTCTGTCAATGAAAATATCAGGGTTCATTGTTTGTGGGGGTGGGGGGGGGATGAGTAGGTTTGGTGACCAGTTTCAGTTATTCACTAGGAGGGCTCATTGGGCTTAGAGTATATTCCCTTCTCCAGGATATCTTCCCAACCTAGGGATCAAACCCAGGTCTCCCACATTGCGGGTGGATTCTTTACCAGCTGAGCCACAAGGGAAGCCCAAGAATACTGAAATGGGTAGCCTATCTTCCGGACCCAGGAATCAAAACGGGGTCTCCTGCATTGCAGGCGGATTCTTTACCAACTGAGCTATGTGGGCAATATTGCTCACAGCTGTGATTTATTATAACAAACAGCTCCAGAGCAGAGTTAACAGAGGAAAGGAACATGGGATAAGGTCCTGTGGAAACCACGTGTAAAGCACCAGAAGTCTTCTGACATTTGCTACGGACCTGCTTAATTTTTCCAACACAGATTGTGACAGCTTGTGTGAAATACTGTCTCCTGGGTCTAATCTGAGACTTGGTGGTCAGGCTTTTCTTGGGGGCCTGATGACATAATCACCCCCTGCCCAGCACAGACCCAGCCTCCAGACTCTCAGAAGGAAAGCAGGTGTTCATACACCAGGGTGTTTGTACCAACAATTCAGGCACAGTGAGCCACCCTCAACTGTTCTGGGAACTGGCGAACCCCTCCTGAAATTCAGGTTTCCTAATGCCAGCCAAGGACCCACACAACAAGCAGGCTTTTGTGAGGATAGCAGACTCATGCTTATTTTGTGAATGCCTCTGCACTGAGCGATTCTATAATCACTTAAGTTGTTGAGAAAGGGTTATTGATGGAGAAACTTTTTGGAATCCAGGAAAGTCCGATGTTAAGAAGAGGTCATGTTTCTTGAAGTGAGATTTGAGGTTGGACAAAAAAGAGAAGGATTCAAGGTGGAATTGTAGAGCACCGAGGTTTGACCCTGGTCCCAGTCTCTTGTCCACATGCAGGAGATGGAGAGGAAGGAGAATTGGGGTGTGTTTTAGGAAATCAGGAGAGGCCAGAGTACCACAAAGGAGGAAATGTTCATTAGTATATAAAATACTGCAGACAGGGAGGAATTACAGGTATGGGGACTGCAAAAATGCCGCTCGGACTTACTTTAATAATGTGTAAATTGACTTTCTTTAAACTCAAAGTTATCTGTACACATTAAGCAAGACATGCAGCTCATTGCCTTTAAAGCTTTCCTGCCCATCACATCTTTCTGTTTGCTTTTTTAAAACAAAAAGCTTTAAGAGTTTTTGGTCATTAGTCTGCATTAGTTTGTTTGGCTTAGATTTCACAAGCAGATAGAAATGGGTGAGCTTTGGGAAAGCTAAAAAAAATTTCCTTGAGAGTTACTGCGTACTTCTCTCTGGTAATTATTTAGGGACAACAGTGGCCAAAAAGCATCTCTTCTTTCCTTGATGGAAAAGTAATTCTGTTTGTTCATTAAGAGGATTGTGTTTGCCATTCCATTAATCTCATTGCTATTTGCTGGCGAAAAATGGAAATTGAAAGCTGCTTGTTTTGAGTTCTGACATCCCAAGGGGGTGATGAGAGTGTTTGAATTTCCTTCTCCACCCTTGGATGTCTCCCAGACTCTCACTTCTAGGTCACCTGACTGTCTCCTGCTTCATTTCTGTCTTTGTGGCTTCTTGATGGTAAGGTTGTGCAGGACCTCTGAGATGGATAACCACTGTTAGAAAAAAATCATGTGAACCAATAGAGGCTTCTTTTTAACTTAAAAATGCATCAGAACCTCATTTACTTGGCGGAGGGGGGCAATGATTTTGGGACTTCCCCGGCAGCCCAGTGGTTAAGACTCTGCCTTCTTTTTTTTTCCATTTATTTTTATTAGTTGGAGGCTAATTACTTTACATCATTGCAGTAGTTTTTGTCATACATTGAAATGAATTAGCCATGGATTTACATGTATTCCCCATCCCGGTCCCCCCTCCCACCTCCCTCTCCACCCGATCCCTCTGGGTCTTCCCAGTGCACCAGGCCCGAGCACTTGTCTCNTTGCTCCAGCAGCAGAGTTGAATAATGCAGCAGAAACAATATGGCCCCATAAGACTAAAATATTTACTATCCAGTCCTATTATAGAAACAGTCTGGACCCCTGCTCTAATCTCTCAGTTCACTGGTTCTTTTAAATTACTATGTAATTGGTATATATTGTCCCCTCACTGCACAGCCGACCCGGGAACAAAGGGCTGTGCTGTTTAAGCTTAAGGGCTAAGGCTGTGCAGATAAACTTCAGACTTCCAGGTGGCTTGGGGTGAAGAATCTGCCTGCCAACACAAGAGATGTGGGTTGCATTGGTCAGAAAGATCCCCTGGAGAAGGGAATGGCAACCCACTCCAGTATTCTTGCCTGGAGAATCCCATGGGCAGAGGAGCCTGGTGGGCTACAGTCCATGGGTTCACAATGAGTCAGACATGATTGACTGAAGCAACTTAACATATGCACTACACATGTCAACTTTATCTAGCTAAACAGAGCCACAAGGTAGGAGTGGAAGATGCATTTACTTGAAACACATGAAATTGGCTTTTTCTGTGGGTGAAAAACTTTTGCATCTTTGCAGTTCCATCAGATTCAATCTAATAATTTCTCTGGCATAATTTCACTAGCCCCCACATGTCAGGAGGATCTGCTGATATCTTGGTCTGGAAAGTTCAATGTTTGCTGCATCACCCTCCTGGCACATTTTTTGTTTTTGGCATTTCTATCTCCTTTCAGTTAACTGTTTTACAAGTAGTCTTTGTGCTTCTCTTCAAGAACATGTTCACAAATATAAAGGAACATGTTTCCTTTCACTCAAGGAACTGTGCAAATGCCAGTTGCGCAGTTACAGCTGGCCATCAAGACAGTGCCTTTGCTTGGAAAGGAAGAAGCAGATTTAGGCCCTCGGGGTCCCCAACACTCTCTATGCTTGTTGTTTCCCTGATCTGGTGAGACGACACTTGCCAGGTGGCATCAACCTGGCCTTAGATAGGCTGCACTTGCTGCTACCCCATGGCTTCCAGGTTGTGGTTGATGGTTGATCCCAGGTCATTTAATTTGGAAACTGTCCTGCCTGACAGTGAATGCATGTGCTTTCTTTTCATGAATCTATAGTCCAATCGAATCACTAAAAAAACAACTTTCATTTGACCCTTGTGGCAGAGTTTTGATCAGTTCTATGATTCTTTGGGGGCTTCTCCATTGGTAAAGAATCCACCTGTAATGCAGGAGACCTGGGTTTGACCCCTGGGAAGACCTGGGAAGATCCTCTGGAGGAGGGCATGGCAACCCACTCCAGTATTCTTGCCTGGAAAATCCCCATGGACAAAAACCTGGCGGGCTACAGTCCATGGGGTTACAAAGTTGGACACAACTGAGCGACTAATCACAGCACATGTATCGCTGAGTTTCCCAGGGCCTCACGTTGTAGAAGTTGATTTTTCAAGGACTAAAAATACAAAACCTTTTAAGACAGATTATGGTGGTGGTGTATTTTAACACTGTAGGTAATTCCTTCTAGGATATCTGATGTCAAACAATTAAGTGCCTTCTGTGGGCACTTCCTGTAGCAGAAAATAAAACTGTATTTGGGAGCTGGGTTTCATGTATTCGGGTCCTGACTCTACCCCTTAAAAGTCATGCAGTTTTAGATACACCTCTTAGTCTGTCTAGAGTAGTCAGGTGTAAACTGTGAGAGTTGGAGTTGGCAGTCTCTGAGATTCCTGCCATGTTAGAAATGCAATGGCTATTCATATGGGGGTTTATTTGAATTATTAAAATTATTTTTTAAAATTTATTTTAATTGGAGGATAATTCCTTTGCAATATTGTGTTGCCAACAATCCTACATGCAGGGCAGCAAAGGAGACACAGACATAAAGAACAGAATTTTGGGCTCAGTGGGAGAAAGGAGAAGATGGGATGATTTGAGAGAAAATTACTTTTTAAAGAAGGAATTCGAATAACATTTCTCTGGTATATCAAATTGTTTGCAAATCACAAACAGTTTAGGAGGAATTATTTATTATCTTATTAATTAGTATTTCATGCTTAATTGATTTAGTAATTTGCCACTGGATCATGTCAGATCTTGAAGATACTCAGCGGTAAAGATAAAATTGCCCTGATGAGATGTAATTGGGATGGCTGTATTTGCCAGTTTTCCTGAGACAGTCCTAATTTATGTCTGCTGTTCCAACCTAATTATTGTCTCTGCTCCCTTTCATTCTTAAAATTGTTTCAGTTAAGATGATAAATTATGTGGTCACATTAAGTATAATCTAAGTAGCAGCTACTGTTAAATTTTTTTTTTAAAAATCACTATGATTAAAATTTTAAAGCCCATAATTGTATAATGGGGATTTGATGTTTATTAGAAAACAAATGCTACCACACATTATTATCACTTTACAGTCACAAAAAAGAAAAAAAAAATGCTGGAAATGTGATTGGCCTAAGGTTACTCAGTCCATTGGGGTATAGAGTTAAGCCCCTGGAACCTAGGTATTGTTATTATCATTAGTCTATATTGACTTCCTTCCTTTCAAAAATCAAAAGCACTTTAGATTTGCCAAGTGTGCTAGGACCATTATTTTTTCAGCAGCCCTGGACAAACCCAGCAGAAGCAGTCTTTTTGTTTCCTCTCTAACAACTCTCTGGAAGAGACAATTTTTTTTCCCCTGGGTCCCTTACACTGGAGGGACTACTGGGAAGGATTGATGTCTGGGGATAGAAAAACAAGAGGCAGATAGTAGACATGCCACTCTGCTTGTCTTCATTTCCTTCTCACCATTATCCCAGATTAGCCAAGTCTGTGATGGGTGCAAGTCAAGTGAGACAAAATTATGTGCAAAGTTAGCCTTTCTAGAACCCGCCAAGTCTCAAACACTTTTAATGTAAATATCCTATGAAAGGTTATCAAGTTTCAGCTGGTCTGTCCTATAAGCTGAGTTCTTGTTATCAGTTTATAAAGTAGAATGCATTTGAAATCTGGTCTCTTTAAGTTTCTGGGGCTGGTTGGGAGTGATGAGGAGCATGGGACCTCTGTGTGTGTGTGTGCACAAGCATGTGCATAAGTATGCACACATGTACTTGTTCCTTCTTGCGGTGGCATTTCCCTCTGTGCAGAATTGTTTACTGGCCTGTTTTTCCCTTCAGTTTCACAATAAGGTGACCTGCTTCATGCTGCATCAGATTGAGGAACCCTGCTCCCTGGGGGCGCATGCTGCTGTTATTGTTCCGCCCACCTGGATCATTAAGGTGAAGAAACCTCAGGTAACTGCCGGGACCCTGGTGCTGCTGGGCCAGCTCAGAGAAAAAGGAACTGCTGCTTCCTGCTTTTCTCCCCCCTGACGAGGCTCTGGGTTCCTCCGATCTCTGCTCACTCCTCCCCACAGGGCCTTGCCTAGCTCCCCAGTTCATCCCGTTAGCCCATCCCCTACTGCTGTTGGGCTCTCTCATGGAACCAGCCTCTTCCTAAAGAAATCAGAGTTTCACAGCAGGAGTGCTCGCTCCCCATTCAGATGCTAACATGTATTCTCTCTGCCCGGGGGCTCTGCAGAGTTCCTTGAAGCCCCTGGTGAGGGGTGCGTGCAGCTGACTCTTACCCGACTCTCTTCTTTTGCAGCCTGGGCAACCCCAGGGAGTGACTGTGAGGGCGCACGATGGTGCAGGCTTCAGTGTTGGGTTGCGGTTTCCACCACTTCCAACCCCAACGCAGACTGTGGGTCATGACCTTCCCCAGTACACGAGGCCTGCTTAGCGAGCAACACTCTTTCCTTAAGGCAAAGTAGAATTTATCCTCTTAACAGCTAATCTCATTCTGTATTCAAGCCTCCTTGTACTTTCTGCATTGCAGGCTGATTCTTTAGGTCCTAGCCACCAAGAAGCTCTTTTGTACGTGTGTTTCCCCCTAAAATTCAGTACTCTCTCCAATTGCTTCCTAGTAAATATTCAGTTAAATCAACACGTTTTCATCAAAAACCTTGATGGTATCAAGAAGGCTACTAAGCACTGTGATGTAATACATGATCTTTGCTCTGAAGAACCGTGTAATTACTTTAAGGAAAGATCAGGGAGAGCTTCATGAAGCAGGTGGGTTTTACTCTGCCTACTTAAAGATGGATAGGATTTAGATCAGTGGAGAAGAAAATAACATGGAGGAGAATGGAAGTATACTTTGTCCAAAATTATATCCATGGGGCTGTGAGACTAAGTTGACTGCAGAGGAAGGTTTATGTAGGGGGCGAGTAAAAGGGACGAGCATAAGATTATTCAGTTCTGACTCAGAGGAGGTTTTTGCTCCATGTAAACTTTATCCTTTTAGCAAAGGAATGATTAAGTAAAATTATTTATATATATATATATGTATATTTTTTAATATAATTGTTTCCTTTTAGGAAACAACTAGCAGGAGTATGTAGGATGACCTAGTGGTATGGGATTTTGGACGACTGAAGATAAAACAGGAAAGCCAGAAGACACTACCACTCTGCAGAGAGACTCTAAGTTTACTTTTGTAAACTTTAAAAGATCTTTGGGTTGTGGAAATTTTCAAACAAGTGAAGAGAAAGAGATGATCATGCTGAATTCTATAACCATGAACATTGCTGCTGCTGCTGTTGTTTCATCTGTCCCTTGCCAGGCCATATTTTTCTTTTCATAATTAAATTTGTTTTGAGATTCCCATACAGTTGTAAGAAACAACACAGAAGGAACCCATGTATCCATTACAAACTTTCTTCTCATGGTACCATCTTGGAGTATCAGAGTATAACATCATAACCCGGATGTTGACACTGATCAACATCAGTGAAGACACAGAACAATTCCATTACCATAGGTATCCTTATGTTACCTTTTCATTGCCACATTCATGTTTCTTCTGGCCCCACGCCATTTACTCTGTCTTCTTGAAAGTGCAAGTCTTCCTTTTTCCCTTTTGCTAGGGTATTTTAAAGCAAAGTTTAGCATACCATTTAATATATAAATGCTTCCTTTTGTTTCCCAGAAAGATAATACTTCAGAAAGACAATTCTATCCCATTACTTCACCCATCAAAATTAATTAATTTGAGGTCATATCCTTAAAATATTTTTTGATTGTTTGAAATATATCTTTTTAATACAGCCATTTTTCAAACTAAGATCCAAAGTCTGCCACTTCCTTTTTGTTGACTGGTGTCTTAAATCCCTTTTAATCTATAGCACTCTCCTCTCTTATTTTTTTTGCCGTTTATTTATTGAATAAATAGGGTGACTTTACCTATAGCATAGCTCATATTTTAATTTTGACTGATCATGTCCTTATTGTGTTTTTAAATCATTTACATCATCATTTAAAATCATGGCCCATATTTCTTATAAAAATATTTAGATGTAAGGACTCAGATTCAGGTTTAATTTCTTGGCAAAAGGGCTGTTATGGTGTCTTTTTCTGTCGTGTTGCTTTTAATGGAACATAATACCAGACTGTTCACTGTTAGTGGTGTTAGGATTCAGGAACTGTCATCCTGATCCATTTGTTATAAATTTGTCCATTACAGGTTGTTGCCTAAGTTTTTTATTTCATTAGGTTTTGTTAAAGGGTGATTTTCCAATTTTTACTCTTCATTTTTTAGCTACAGTTTTTCTATAAAGAGACCTTGACATTATTACCAGCAAATATAATACATAACAGATGCTTTTGTGTTTGCCTTCATTTGTAAATTTTCGTAATAATAAGTTGGTATCTTAGCAACTTTTATTAGGCAGCTGATTGGTGGGAATTATTTTTTGGAAAGTAGTTCATAGTCAGGATGCTAAAGTCCAAAATTTTTTAATAATCCACCTTTTTATTCCCATCTATGATTCAAGACATTGTAATAATAAGAATGAAAGCTAACATTTATTGACTGCTTTACATGTGTTACATATTTTAAGTACTATATATTCAGTAACTCATTGTTACAGTGCTCTTATTAGTCCCACTTTGCAGCTGTGGAAAGTGAGGAATAGAAAAGTCAAACAAATTAGCTGGGGCTATACAATTATTGGTGTGAGATGCATTTGAACCCACAAATTGTGATTCTGAAACCCAAGCTCTTAATGATATATCATGCTACTTTACCATGGTGCTAAAACCAGCCTTGATGAATTAGATAACTTTAAAAATTGTGGTGGCCCCTTCTCCCCTGGGTCCCAAAGTCATCAAGTAATTTAACTAGTTAACTAAGTTCTGTATAAAAGGTGGCGCATAATGAGCCTGAGGGGGCAGAGTGGCAGCAGGGTAGTGCTGAAAAGGTCTGGTTTGCAAACCAGGCGGCCTGGACTCATAACTTTGCTCTGCCACTTGATGACTTGTTTCATCTCAACTTAATCTCTTCTACTTCAGTTTCTCCTCCGTAAAGGGTAAATAATACTCGTACCTATTTCATAGAGTTTTTTGAGGACTAGTGAGCTAAAACACGTAAAATAACACACACAGAACAGTACCTGGCTCATTGTAACCACTCAGATTTTAGCTCTTGCTGTTTTCCTTCTTGCTGACTTTTAGGAGCACACGGTGTCAGGTGAAGCTGTGCAACAACAGATGACAGCAGGGCAGCCATCCGGGGTCAGGATAGAAGTTGCTGATCCCTGAACCTTCTGTGTTACAGTGAAAGCAGGTGTCAGGAGGGTGAGAGAGAGACCCAGTGCAGGGGGTAGAAAGAGACAGGCGTAGGGGCCATAGCCTGGTATCCACAGAGTTTCCAAGTACACCTGGAAGTATTACTGTAGCTGTTGTATTTCACACCGGAGTGGGATTGTATATTCACTAACCCAATCCTTATCCCAGGGGAGACAGTCAAGACCTGCTCATTTACTAAATAAAAGAAGATGACAGGGGGAACATCCACACCTAGAAAATGGAAGGAGGAGGAGGAGAATGTTGCTAGAGAGAGAACTAAGATAGCATGAAGTTTCAGTATTAAAAAACGAAAAGAAAAATAGGGCAGTCATCAATGTTCAATTCTGTAGACATGGAAAAAATAGTAAGGGTTGAGAGAAGTCCTTGTGTTTGGAACCAGATCATTGAAGAGTCAAAGCCATAATTTGTAGAGTATGGGGCATAGGTGGCAACCTGTTACAAATGGTGTGGAAGCAATAAGATTAGAGAATTTGTTTGGAGACATTGGGTGGGAAATTTTTTTTAAAAAAGGAAAATTTGGAAGGTTGATGGAAAACAGATAATAATAAGTTGGTATCTTAGCAACTTTTATTAGGCAGCTGATTGGTGGGAATTATTTTTTGGAAAGTAGTTCATAGTCAGGATGCTAAAGTCCAAAATTTTTTAATAATCCACCTTTTTATTCCCATCTATGATTCAAGACATTGTAATAATAAGAATGAAAGCTAACATTTATTGACTGCTTTACATGTGTTACATATTTTAAGTACTATATATTCAGTAACTCATTGTTACAGTGCTCTTATTAGTCCCACTTTGCAGCTGTGGAAAGTGAGGAATAGAAAACTCAAACAAATTAGCTGGGGCTATACAATTATTGGTGTGAGATGCATTTGAACCCACAAATTGTGATTCTGAAACCCAAGCTCTTAATGATATATCATGCTACTTTACCATGGTGCTAAAACCAGCCTTGATGAATTAGATAACTTTAAAAATTGTGGTGGCCCCTTCTCCCCTGGGTCCCAAAGTCATCAAGTAATTTAACTAGTTAACTAAGTTCTGTATAAAAGGTGGCGCATAATGAGCCTGAGGGGGCAGAGTGGCAGCAGGGTAGTGCTGAAAAGGTCTGGTTTGCAAACCAGGCGGCCTGGACTCATAACTTTGCTCTGCCACTTGATGACTTGTTTCATCTCAACTTAAACTCTTCTACTTCAGTTTCTCCTCCGTAAAGGGTAAATAATACTCGTACCTATTTCATAGAGTTTTTTGAGGACTAGTGAGCTAAAACACGTAAAAGAACACACACAGAACAGTACCTGGCTCATTGTAACCACTCAGATTTTAGCTCTTGCTGTTTTCCTTCTTGCTGACTTTTAGGAGCACACGGTGTCAGGTGAAGCTGTGCAACAACAGATGACAGCAGGGCAGCCATCCGGGGTCAGGATAGAAGTTGCTGATCCCTGAACCTTCTGTGTTACAGTGAAAGCAGGTGTCAGGAGGGTGAGAGAGAGACCCAGTGCAGGGGGTAGAAAGAGACAGGCGTAGGGGCCATAGCCTGGTATCCACAGAGTTTCCAAGTACACCTGGAAGTATTACTGTAGCTGTTGTATTTCACACCGGAGTGG